TTCGCAATTAATGAATTACTTTATAGTGTATTCAAATTTCAATCACAGATTCTATATAATTAATAAGCATCATGCAATATACTATAATTTCGGGTATTTTACCTTTGTGCCTTTGGTGTCCATATAATCATATTAATGTATTTTAATATTTCATAAACCTAAGAGCTAATGAATTATTTTATATAACTTTAATTTTGGATGATTTTATAATATTTTAGTCAACCATAGATATCCTGAAAACATATCCTCAGCCAACGTCCGTTAAAGTAATGACACATTATTACCAACTTATACTAGCTGGTAAGTTACATGACTTTCTTATTAACTTTCAAAAAAAATATTAATTTACTTGACCTGAACAATATAAATCGTAATAATCATTGCAGACAGCAATAGATATGTCATAAGTATTTATTTTTTTAACAATTTTTTTCAGATCATTTTCGAAAATACGACTACGGAAAAAAAGGGAATATCAAACATTACCAATCCATTACTCCACCAAGTTATGATTTATCTCAAGTAACAGCTCCTACGTATATTTATCATTCAAAATATGACGTAATAGCTCCACCAAAGGTAAGATGCAACTTGAGATGTACGAGTACTTAATTAATTTTTAAACGGTACCTACCTACTATACCTAGAACCTAGCCACACAATTATTGTACACTGGTATCAAGGATTCTTCAAATATTACTAAAATTGATAGCGGTTATGACAACAAAAATTTATTGTAGATAATTAGGTACCATTATTAATACTTGCCAAGGGCGGTGCTATAGAATACAGATGTACCTACCAATCCGTCTTCTATACCTACCTAATAATGACAAGAGTTTATATACATTAGACTACTAGAATCATTTAAAGAAAAACTTTAAACTTTAATCATTTAAACAAGTACCTAATAAACTAATAACATAACTTTGAAATTTGAATAGTGTTTTATTGAAAATGCCGTTCACCGACAGGCCACCACACTTACCTAACCTAACCTTAGGCATTTTAATAGAAATAACAAAAACAATATTTATAATTTATAATATCTACATATATAGGTAGGATATGATATATTATTTTATTATTTTTATATGTTATATAACATCAGAAATACCATAATACCAGAAAAATATCATTTTAAAAATTTAAATACTATTAAAAAATGTAATTACCTATACATACCTACATATTCGACATAAATATTTTTTTATAATGATTTCAGGATATAAAATGGTTAATACAGAGATTGCCGAACGTAAAAAATGTCACTATGGTGAAGAAATTCAGTCACATGGGCTTTGCTACTAGTCCATATTTGAGACCTATTAACATTTTAATAGCTAAACATTTATTAGAAAATAAATAGTAAAATATAATAATATATTATAGGTACTAAATAAAAATCGCTTGTCAGATTTTGACATCATGCATACAATTAATGTACAACTATAGTCTATACCTAGTTTTATCGATTTAAACGAAACATTTAATATAAAAATAATATTACTATAATAGGATTGAATATCATTTTATAGCTAATAATAAATAAATCTAATGCGCTACAGTGCTACACAAAAATCTGTTTATACATACTACTGTAAGTTTTAATAAACCGAAACGATTTTTAAGATTTTTCTAAACCAAAAAATTATTTAGTTGTGTACCTACATAAATGTATTATAAGTTAAATTAATAATAAATTGCTTCAGCGATTTAACTAGGTTAAAATACGCTTTCTTAACCTTAAGACATGATTGTAATTTTTTTTGGGTATACTATCATTAAGTTATTAGGTAGGTACTCTTTGTCAAATTTTACTATTTTAGGATCCACAGATGGCTCATTCCTGGGAATTCTTCATATCCCTCTCCATTAATATTTTTTCCCCTAATAAATGTAATATTTATATACGATAACTGTAAACAACTTAGATCAATTTATACTTAACCCCCCTACCCCAATTTCAAAACCATGGCTACCCCACTATATTACCTATTATTATAAGGATATATCTGATATTATCTAGTAAAAATCATAGACATTCGGTACAGTAATTTTGGTATATTATTGCAGTAAAACATTGCAAGTTTCCTCACCACCTTATAGCTCATCAAACGACAATTGTGTGCTCAATGAATGGTGTATTTAATGTCACATGTAGGGCTCGGAACTTAATGCACTTAAAAAGTACTAAATATGCATGCACTTATGCGCTTAAAAAACTACAAATATGCTCTAAAAATATGCACTTATATTTAATTATTTTACACAACATTTTCATTTGTACAAATATTTTTTTTAAATTTGTAAATAAAAAAAAAAGCAAAGTAATATAAGTTATTAATTTATTATTATTTATATTTTCTAATCATAATTTAAACAAAAAAATAATAAAAAAATCGCTTTAAAAATTAAAAATGTTCCTTGAATAAAAAAATGCACTTCTGTCGAGTTATATTTATATACCTGAAATACCTAAAATCTATAAATGCCATTAACAATAGTCAATAATCATTGAGTTATTTTCCTATAAAAGTATTTATAGAAAATCGTCGTATTTCGATAGCAGCTGTTTCTATTTTAGATTTGTATAATATTCTATTTTAGATAAAGCTAGCTGTAGTTGTAATTTATATATATATATTTATATAATATCATATTAACCAATAGAGGAAAAACATAGTTTTTAATGTCAAATGGAAATTTGAATAATAAGATTCAAGAATATCTAGTAAGATCTCTGAATATGAATGTATTTATTTTTTTATTTACAAATTTTCATATTAAATATCCATAAATTATAAAATATGCTTTAAAAAATTGTAAAATTAAGAAATATGCTCTAAAATCTAAAAATCACTAAATATGCAAAAATATGCACTAAAAACTTTTGATATGTTTTTCGTAGTGTCTTGAAATGAATTTCTAGCTTACTTAGCAATAAATCTAATGGTTCAAAAAAATCATGCAAATGCAACAACTTCCGAGCCCTAGTCACATGACTACATGAGGTATATAGTCCAAGTATTGCCAAGAACCGCGTTTTTTATTGTGGTGTCCCCGTGTAGGCCTAATCCGCATAGAGGATAATGGTAGTGAATTTCCGGGCCAACGATAATGAGATAAACTGATAGTAACTGTTGGAGATTTATTATGTTATATACATTGTTATAGCCAATATAATAATGCAGGTTAAAATATATAAAGACTTTGATTTAATAATGTATCTTTTTGATGACCGAAATTTTCCCAATATCATCTGTGCCGTGTTAAAATCAAGAAGTGTATATTGCCCATACTCATTGGCAATTGGTAGTAATTAAAACGAGACCAGCGCAGGACCAAAGAAAAAAGGTTAATTAAAAAAAATTACAAATGTTCTCCATAAATAAAATAAATATAATATTTGGACATATTATTTGTCTACTGAATTTAACACGGCAGTATTATAATTTTAACTGTACATGATATAATATAATAATATTCATCAACAAATAGAATAATAGTAGGCAGTAGCTACTATTATATTATACTAATACTAGTAACACAAGCTATACTAATTCTACAAAATACAGATACAGTTAATATTATTTCTAAAAATAAAAAAATTCAACTGAACGTATAGCTTACTACATACTTCCATTTTCACCATCTAAGTTCTGTATACCGTACCATGTCGGTATTCTAGTAAGTACCGATGTCCGATACCTAATCATTTCAGTTTCAATTATTTTTAAATTATTTTCAATATCGTCAGCCCTATAAGGCTATAACCATAAGATATTTGATTAATAATTAATGTATTAATGTGTTTAATATAGCATACATATAATTTAGTAATAAGTTTAAAGCCAATCTTTTTTTTCTCCATATGCCACTGCGAGTCAGGTAAGCTCATCGCTGTACAAATAGAGCAAAATCGGGGTCAAATATACATTTTTTTAGATTTCCTCTAAGTGATGCCGAAAGATTAAAAGGTTGGTTAAACGCTATTGGCCGCAAAGGATTTGTGCCAAATGCTGGAAGTCACTTATGTAGTGATCATTTTAAACGATCAGACTTTTATGATAATCCAGGAGGAAGTTATAAATTAACTTTGAAAAATTATGCTATACCATCAGTTTACTCCACATTATTACCTACTAAACTCTTTTCAAATGAACCAGAAGAAAAAAAATGTAATACCTACAATTTAATTAATAAGTTACCCAACAACTAATAGGTAAATTGTTTGTTATATTTGTAGATACATCAAGTGAAGTTTTACCAATAAATGTTAGGGCTAGATGTGCCCCAGATGACGTTGAGGTCTTAAATGATTCTTGTTTATTAACCCCAGTAAAATGACCACTAATTATAACACCATATAAACGCAGTTTTAATCAATGACTTTACCATCTCCTCAAAGAACTCCAATCAGGTACAAAAGGTAAATTAAATTATTACAACAAAAAGTTCGACGGCAAAATAAAAGACCTTTTGAAAAGTATAAGAAATCAAGGTATGTTATCAGCAGAGTATGAAGATATTATGCTTGATAAATTTGGTGGAATGTCAGCTGAAATTTTTAAGCATGAATTAAAAAATATTGGACGCAAACCTAAAGGCCGGCGCTATAGCACAGACATTAAAGAGTTTGCACTTACTCTACACTATAAATTATTCACTTAAGGCTTATGCATTTTGTCGGTTAGATTTTTGCTAGTTATTGTATTTTTAAATTTGACTGATAAGTGATAACTCGTAGTCAGTCGTTATCAATCACAACATAACAATAAACAATTATACCCCATAGGAATAGCAAATCGTAATCCATTGTTGACATACGTCTTGCGACTTACGCCCGCCTTTAATAAACGGCGTTTTGTTTGGGGCTTGTGTAGATGAGGTGTTGTATTGTTTAATTGTTTTGTCGTTTACCATCATAGGTATTCGTATTACTTATTGTTACATTATTAAAATAAACTTGTGATTATTGCGATTTATAATAGTGCAAGATGAACGCGGAGAGCAATAATGTCACATATAATCTGAGGAGGAGGATACGAAGGACAGACGTCGAGTGCAAGTCCAACGATGGTAAGTCGACATTGACGACATTAATAGTTAATACTATAATACTCATTAAATCATATTGCCTTCAGACTAAAATTATAATTTTGAGGTGAACAAATCAATTTACAAACACACTGGTTATGAATTTGTTGTTAGTTTTTTTTATATAAAGGCAATTTCATGGCGAAAAGTAGATTTTAAAATGGCTGTCAATAATAAAACACGTATACCTATTACCTACTTCACTTAAAGACGTAGATTACAAAAATATTAAAAAATTTAAATGAATGATTCTTCCAAAGTACCAAATATACTCTATTCCACATAATCTTACACACTTTTTTTTTATGCAAATAGAGTATGGTCAAAAGCTGAAAACGTTGTGACAATACAAGTTCCTTACGTATACGCACCGAGGTGTTTCGCGGTGTGAAACTATAGAACTAAAGTGAACTAAATTGTCACAACGTTTTCACAAGTGGGTAAACTTACGGAGATTAGAGTGTATAGGTAGTAGCCTGGAAATTAATTAATTATTCTAATGACTCTAAAATGTATATTTACACCAATTCTCGCAGCCACAGGCTGTAATATTTGTGTATAGAGAAATATAAAAAATAAAAACAACTAAACACAATTATTTGAGTATTTACCAACAATGATTTAAGTGTTCATACTAGCACCTTAGGAAGTTAAAATTAAATGTAGGTCTTTCATGTATAATACTATATAATATCATATTATAATGTTTAAAAATAGATAAATTATTTATACATTTCTACATTAATTTTAATGCTTAATAATGAATATTCTTTTAAGTAATTTTACACTAGTTAAATTTTATTTTTTCATCTAGTCATCATGAAAAGTAGGTAATTAAGTACATCTACTAAAACAGTTAGCTGAATATCACACCCAAAATTCTAAATTCAGAAAAACTATTAAATTCCAGTTTTTAGCCTTAATACAACACTGCTCCATCATGTATCCCAGCAAAAAGATGTTAGAAACTATTAGGTCAATTAAATTATCTATTGATAAAATAACTCATATATACATGTGTGTTTAGATTCAATGTTTGCGGCACAAACATATTTATCTGTTGATCAGAAGACTGACTGCGGTTCAATGTCCATGATGGAAGACAAACAGTACTGGTGTGAGCAATGGGTCCTGGCTCACCGTGAAGGCAATGTTCCTGAAGAAAAAAAATATGTCGCTAAAAAATGTAATTGTCCTTAATATTTGCCACTTGCTATTATTATTTATTATACTTAAACAAAAAACAAATGTATTTAACAAGGCAGCAATTAAGTTATTATAGAATTATAAGATTATAAATAATGATACTGAATTGATTATAATATCTAAAATATTTTAATAACTTTGGATAGGTATTGAAGAAATAGCACTTAATTCCATATCTTTTAATTTTTCATTTAAAGAAATTAAAATACCTATTAACTATAAACATTTTTTTCTTAAAATAGGTGTTGTTACCAATAATTCAGATGACACAGAGTCGTTTAAGTCTAGCTTGGATTTAAATAACTTGAAAGAGTTCAAGAAGCAACAACCTAGAAAAAAGAAATTGGATTTGGATCGAGTAAAAATGAGTTACTGTTGTGGATGGGTTGAATGCAATCATGAATCAACTGATATAAAAAAATATCTTCAACATGTTGCTGAGCATGTTGATTATTTATGGACTGAAGAATGGCAGGGCAATAAAGAAAGTATGTTGATTACACTTTTTTTTTTTACTTTACAATTTTAAAACCACGTATTATCTTCAGAATGGTTTACATGTTCATGGAATAACTGTACGTTCCAATCAAACTGCGAGGTGAAATCTACAACTCATGTAAATTTCCATGCATATCACACACGGCTTAAATGTGTCGGCTTGGCTGTTTTAAATCTCTGTGAAATACCTGTATGTACATTCCTACAATAAAAACCTGCACATTAACAATTTGAATTTTTTAATTACTACATAATATACATTTTATGTTATGTTAAGGGATGTAAGTTGAATGGTGATGGTGCTAACATCTTACCAGATTTACCAAGTGAATTTGAATGTAATTGGAAAAATTGTAATGATCGATTTGAATGTATGCAATACTATGCATATCATGTGGCTCAGCATTTAGATTTTTTAAAATTCAACAATTCTAACTTCATCTGCCCATGGACAGGTTTGTAACTAATAAATGTATCTTAACTTTTTTTTTCATCAGCGTCATCTATTATGGCTTTTAATCATTTTCATATTTTACAAATATTTTTTTCAGATTGTACTTTACAATTTACTGCGCGTTACAGATTAGTTGACCATATAAAAAGCCACACTCAAGAAAAAACATGTGCTTGTCCTAACTGTGGTATTATGTTTTCCACTTACACTAAACTGAAAGATCACTGTAGACAATCAAATAAAGGTAAACTTAAAAACAAATGTTATGAACATATTATAATTTTAGAAATTGTTATTTTTCAGACAAAAGCAATCAGTGTAAATTTTGTAAAAAAACATTTTCATGTGAACGACTTCTAAAACAGCATGTTCGCCTTCATATAAATTATTATAAATGTCATCAATGTGATGCATCATTTTCTAGAGCAACACAACTATCCACTCATATACGTTACCGTCACTTAGATATAAAACCCTTTGGATGTCATTTATGTAAATCCAAGCAAGTATAACATAACATAATTTTTTTACAATATGCTAAGTTTTTAATTTTTAGGTTTGTGCGCAAAGTAGATCTTACTACACACTTACGAAAACATGCGCCAGGCCCGCTATTCAAATGTTCAAAGGACGGCTGTGATTTTTCATGTCGAAGCGAGTACACAATGCGAAAACATATAGGAGTAGAACATTACAATGCAGAAGAACTGTATAAATATTATTGTCATATATGTGGTGATTTGTTCCTAAGAGGTTCATTTCTGACAAAACATTTAAAAACTGATCATAACTTCCATAAACCAGCTGGCTTGAAACGTTTCAGGTTTTAAATTTACTTTTTGTGTGAATCCATTTTTTTTAGTTTAATTCAATTTGTATTTATTATTGGTATTCAGGTACATTGAAGACGACGACGGGTATTATAAACTTCAAACGTCAAGATATGAATGTCTAGACATACAAGAACAAAAGAAAGTTAAATTGATCAATCCCAACAAAGTGGTTGTTAGGAAAAAAAGTCAAACTACTTGCAATGTTAGTTTAATATTTATAGTTAATAGTTATTGACAAGGCTGGGCATTAACGAATTAATAATTAAAATCAACTTAAATTATTTTTAATAATCCCAATTAAGTTAATTTTGAATTTTCAGAAATTTTTCAGAAAGATATTATTATATAATTCATAAGTTAGTAGAATACAGAAAATAATAAATTTTATTAGAAAAAAGAGGTATATTTACGAAGAATTTTGTATACATTTAAAATTGTTATAAATAAAAACTAATTCCTATGTCGTATTAACTAGGAAATAATTAATAATAATAAAGGGATAATTATAAAACTATTTACCTAACATTAATCGCCCGTATATTATAAAGACATCTCTATTCTTTATATAAGAGACCGCGAATCCATGATTTATAATACCTTCTTATATTTAGGTACCTACTCATTAGTTATTACTTATTATTTATTTGTACAATAATTTTATTACAAAAATGAAAAATTCCTACCTAGTCTATTATACATTTATACATTCAATATAAAATTAATAAACATAAAATTTAAATGAACCCAGACTGAAATATAAATTGAGTTCTAAAATGATACAGCCTTACAGGGGTTTTAAATTGCATACCTACATAATATTATTATATGTACCTATATTGCTATTCAAGTGATTATCACTTATTAGTTATCTTAATACCTTATAGATGAATTTTTTTTTTTTTTATGTTAACCTAACTTATTCATTGAAGTTCAAGTTAAGTTAACAATATTTGTTAACTTAATTTAAACTTAATTGATTTATTAAAAAGTCTATTAACTTAACTTTTAATTTAATTGAAAATATTAACTTAACTTAACCGAGTTAAAAAATTTCATTAACTTGCCCAGCCTTGGTTATTGATATGGTTAAAATGGTTTTTATATGATAATTATTTGATTCCAGGATAAGCAAACAATAGAATTTGTTGTTGATATTTTATCATGTACAAGTGATGATGAGGACAATGATAATATTGAGTAATTTAAGATAAAATTGGTTTATCGTTATTGAGTACATATTTAAGATAAACTAGTAGACTATTTACATAAAGATTTTTTGTGGACTGAAAAATTGTATTCCTTAAGATTTTCAACATATTATATAAATAATTTTATTTTAATTAACTAACATAATTTGTAGGTTTGCTGGTCAATATAATAAATAATTATATTAATTATTAATCAGTGACAAAAATTAATCAATGATGTGATAATAAAGTATGTACAGATTAAAGTAAATTGTTTTGTCTTTTATAAAAACCTGTTTCCATAATACCATCAAAAATATTTTCAATTAAATAAAGAATAAAAGTATTATTACTTATAAGTAGGTAATAATACCTGGACTACAAGAACAAAATTATTGAAGCAAATAAGCAATATTTGTCACAATTTAATTGCTGACTTGAAAATATTAGGCAAGTTGTAATTATTATTACAATTTGTATCAAAATAAGAATTATGTCTGTAATTGTGTACAGTCATATACCCAAACTATACATATAAACATTTTTAATTTCATATTTTTGTATTTTATCTTGGTAGTATGAATTGTATATAATTTTTCAAGATTTACTTAGTTTGCAAATTCATACTATGTACTATCATACTGAAAGTATTACTTTAATTCTTATAGGTACAAAAATGTTGAATAATAGCTAAAATATGTTATACTTTTATCTCATATATTTAATATTTCTTCTAACAAATACCTTAAAAAGTAATTTAAAGTAATACAAATAATAGCGCACTAAACATCAGGATAATACATGTCATCGAATCGTTTTTTCCTAATTCTTCTTCCCTTATCTCTATCCTTGCGTTGTATGTAAGGCCCGTAATGGTCATCAAGTCGTCTCTCATTCAGTGGATCCTGTTCAAGTTCAAAGAAACGTCTCCTGGCCTCAAAATGTCTGGTTTCATATTCAATCTTATAAATACGCTCCCAATCATAAACTTCAGGTAAAAGACGATGTCTAGGTCTGTGAGATGTTAAAACTTTGTATCTATTATGTAACCACACCCTATAAAAATATATATTTATTGTAATTTGTAAGTTTATTATGAACACACCATATTATGCTTATTCTTATATTTAATATATTATGCTAAGGAAATTAATTAATAACTAATACATATTTTAATTTACCTTCTTTTAATATCATCTATGTTTGCCACTAATTGTTCTTTACCAAGATATGGACACATTTCGTGATCTCGTGATTTAGGGATATTCACATAACAACTTAAAAGATCTTTTAACACGTCATCATTCCAACCTGTAACACGACACATTTACAGCATATTGTAATAGTGTATTATGGTATTTAATCATTTATTACGTACCAACAATGCGGTCATCTGTGATGTTGTGAAACAGTTCTGTTTGTTTTGTTCCCCAACAAATGTTACTGGGAGCAATTGGACGGTTGATATCATCTTGACTTTTAAAGAAGCGCATAGTATTTAATTGATACATGTAAAATGACCAAGTCTTGCCATTTGTAATAATTGATTGATTAACAAGAGGATATGTGAGTTCATTGCAAATTGTAAAACCTGCAAACAATTTTACTTTATATACAAACAACTGAAACATTATTGATTAAATAAAAAAAATTGTATGAATTGATTCTAATTTTGTAATATATAATTATTTGAAATATTAACACGATCCCAAACCTTTTACCCATTTTAAATTCCAACTGAGAGGATGAATCGAGTTTTATTGTATCAAAATTAAAACAAAAAGTTTTTACCTTGATAAGAGGCTTGACCTATCAACCAAGCGAATGATGCTAGTATTGCTTGGGCATGAACAGCTTCTTGGTGTTCTGATTCACCAAAATTTGGTGGTCTATCTTCTAAGTACTCATTGGTGTGTATGGACAACAAACCAAATTTTTGTTGATCATTTGGCCAAAAACCTGAAATAATTTTTAACATAAGTATTTTATCAATCTGTAGATATATATATTTTTTTCATTATATAATTAGTAACAAACCCGGTATACTGATGCCATGTCTCCTTTCATAAGGTAATTTATGATAAATTGTAGGATTATAATCATAATTAGGAATACCAAATTCTTTGAATGCCGTCTTTGGAATATCAGAAGTGGCAGACTGAGCAGTAGTTAAGGTCCATTTGTCTAGGGGAACTGAGGGTAAAGGTAAATTATGTCGCACCTGGATTGTAGGTCGACCAAAATAATGTATCCATCTATCAACGGGATTTTTTAAATTCTCTTTAGGTACATTTTTTTTCTTTCTCATAGCTTCATCTTCTTTAGTGGCTGCAAACCCATGTACGTTCCAGAATCCTTCAACCCGAGGTTCATAATCGATCTATTTAAAATTAACAATTAGTCGTTATACAATGATGATTTAATATATTATAAATTAAATTGATAAAAACAACGTTATACAATGATGATTTAATATATTATAAATTAAATTGATAAAAACAAAATCATACCTGAGCTTCAAATAAATGTGGATAATCAGCTGCCAGATTGGCTAAGAATATACGATTTACTTGTTCTGCTACACTTTTAGCCAATTCATTTGTTGATCCGGATTCATCAATATTTTTGTCAGATTTTATTGCTTTACCTCTGCTTCTAAAAAGTGATTTAATAATTTTTTAATCATCGAATCTAAATAATTATTTACAATGTTTATTATTACTAACCTGTTTCTATTGTATTCAAATACCAAACTATCCTCTAGCTGAGGTTTTATACGATCGATGAATTGTTGACAATCATCATTTGAAAGTCGATTAGGAAGAGTGTCTACTTCATATATTTTTGTCTTTGTTACCGTCTGAGCAAATGGCAAAAAGTCATAAGGAATTACTTTATCTTTTACCACTAATGACTGCCAACCATAATATCTAAATGATCGATACGGTATATGTTAAGCAATATAAAATTTTCTAATTTTCAATCAATCAAACCTTGGCATGTTTATGCCGATAGATTTTTCTTCGATTGTACTGAGGTTACGAATTTTTTCATGGTCACTCAGTTCTTGACGTAACAATGTCGGCTCGGGTTTAACATCTACAATAGGTGGATACTGTGCGCGGCTCTCTTGACGACAAACGTACGCAGAGGCGAGCGATCGACCAAATACATTCGGTACTTTACGTTTGGGAATTCGAACGGTCAACATGTCTATACAACAAATAAAAATAGTTTAGGCAAACGTCAAAAAAAGTACATGTCATATAAATTTGATAAATCGTTTCACTTACCGTAGAGCCGAAATTAAACAGAATCCCAACAATTTATTATTGGCGTTCAACTTTCAAACCGAACATTATTATTATTATAATATACGAATTAAGTATAAATTATTTATAATAAATAAATAACTAATTAATCGTCGCGTTGTAAATTGTAAATTGTAAGCTGTAATGTATTTAATATTTTAATTTGTCATGCTTTCTACTATCATTTATCAGCTATCACCGCTCTGTGCACCGGTGTGAGGTATGGTCACAGATAATTCTGTGATAATAAAACAGAACAGAAGAAATCTATATTTTTCATCTATGGTTGTAATAGAAAACTCAAATATTTTAATTTTATCTATATTGACAACAACAGTCAACAATTAATGTCTGCTTTAGAAAATACTATAATGATATGTAATTTCTTGTCTATAGAGTATAGACAGATAAAAAATATCATTATAAATATTATAATATGCAAATTTTTTATGTGAATGTAATTATTATCACTTATCAGATAGTCGTTCCACCTTGAAACACAGAATTTCGACAGAAATTCAACGTAAAAGCACAGATTGAAATTTTTTGAAATTTTCAGTTTCTGTGGTAAATCAGGTTTTAATCTGTGGTAGAAAGTAGAAACTTCGATACTTATCTTTCTGCACGCCAGAGTGCCAGACCGGTATGTTTATTATCTATATTTGTGCTTGTCTTTTTATGTTTTCTTAAAAACATTGTCAAATATCTGTAGATAATTTATTTGCCTACATTGATAATAATAATGTACATTTAATTTCAATACGTTTTGTATTGCACCGATCTAACTAGGACTAACCTAAGGACGCTCCCAAATAGAACCAGCTATTTACTAAGTTAAACTCAGTGAGCTATACTCAGCCTGACAAAATTTCGGTAGATAAATTATTAAGAGGACATTTGTTGTTTCCGTTCTACGAGTGCGTAACATGGTATATTTTACGCTCAGCAATTCACGTTTAGCTCCGTTTGTTTAAAAATTGGAGTGAATTGACCTCTTATGTAATTGAAAGGTAAGATTATTATCTAGGGCATCTCAGTTATGAATATTTTAAGATGTACAAACAATTTTAAAATACTCAATAATTAAAATGTAATAAAAAGCCTATGAGAGCTGTCCTAGATAATAATCTTACCTTTAAATTTTATAAGAGGTCAATTCCCTCTAATTTTCAAACTAACCAAGCTAAACCTGATCGGCTAAGCGTAAATTTGCTATGTTACGTACTTGTAAGACAGAGACAACGAATGTCCGTGTAGCGTCCTCTTAAACTTATTTGTTCTAACCTATTTTAATGGGATTTAGCCTAATAAATGTTATAACTTATAAGACTCTGTGCGCTGGTACTTATCCTATCCGGCACTATCTACCTAAGGACTATGATTTTCATCGCTCATTAATATTTTAACTTTTGGGTAAATAGATTTTCATATATTTTTTGTTACATATTTAATATTTTGTTGTGCTTTTTTTATGTTCACTGTTCAGTAAAAAGGTCAAATACATTTAATCATTTATCATTTATTATCCATATGATAATAGGTATTAATAGGTAGTAGGTATGCTATAGCCCAGTGTTTCTCATCCTTTTTACTGTGGCCACCCCACCCCCCTTTTTAAATTTAAATTTTTTAGCGACCCCTACATATATATTTTTTACATACTTCACATACTTGTATGATTTAAATAATTCGATTGCGACCCTAAATAATAAGTTGGCGACCCCCAGGTTGAGAAACACTGCTATAGCCTATATTTGACTAAATTAATTTTAAAATGTTGTTGGACACCCAATGTTATATCAAAATTGAAATTCTTCACATTTTAAATATTTCCTATCTACCAATAACAAAAAAACTAGTATTACTAATTAAGTAATCTCTTAATTGAAATCAAAATACTGTTAAATCACGTGTAATCTTGCAAAATTCTACTTATTTTTTAGTGGATACAGAATAGCTAACCCATGAGACACTGACACACTGCAAAATACATAATATATTATTTAAAAACTATAAATACCTAATTATTATCTACCAAAAATTAGTTATCCTAAAAATGCATTTTGTAATTATTGAATCATGCCCAAATAAAATGTTATTTGGCTATTAATTAAATTATACAGAATTAACCAATATCAAAACTAACTGATGTATGCATTTTCATATAAAATAACCAACAACTTTAATCTCAAATTTACTTTCAGGCTCAAGTTAGTTATGGCCTTTATGATTCGAAGATTTTATTCATCAGTTGTTGAAAAGACCGTTTTGATATCAAGATCGACAGATGTATTTGAAAACCTTGCCTTGGAACACTGGTACTACCGACATTCAGACTTCACTAATAAATCTATGTTGCTATTGTGGGTAAATAGTAATAGTGTTGTAATTGGCCGCCATCAAAATCCTTGGTTGGAAGTAAATTTTGATCCAGCTATTGACCTACGGATAGCAAGAAGGAATAGTGGTGGTGGAACAGTATTTCATGATAATGAAAATCTGAATATGACATTTTTCACGAACAGAGATATTTATAACAGGAAACAAAATTTAGAACTAATTGTTGAAACATTAAAAAATGAATGGAATGTTGTAACAGAAATTAATAAACGAGAAGATATTGTAATAGATAATATGTACAAAGTTAAGGGTTTAAATTATTTGATTACCTCGTAATGAAAAAATTATTCTTCAGCTTTAATGTATTTAGAAATTTAATTTATATATAGATATCTGGCACGGCTTCCAAGTTGGGAAGACCTAATGCATACCACCATTGTACATTATTAGTTAATTGCAATCGAGAATTGATGTCAAATTTATTGAGAAAACGTGAAGTAAATTGCAAAATAATTAATTATTAAAATATTATGTAACTCCTATCATTGTAATGTTTTTTAGAAAAATATTGAAACCAATGCCACAGTTAGTGTAACATCAGATGTATTGAATTTGACACAAATTAATAACAAAGTGTGTATCAATAGATTAATGACTGCTGTTGGTTTACAATACCTGAAAACAGTAGGCAATACAACAACAATAAATCAAGGATTTAATTATGTAACACCAAATGAACAAACATTCCCTGGTAATATTTTTTTATAGATATTAACATATGAAAGCATATAACATCCATGTATATTTCTTACAAGTAATATAAAATATTGAAACATTTTTTTTTTCATTTTTTAAACAGGTTTCAATGAAATAAAAAATGAAATGGAGAGCTGGGAATGGATATATGGACGAACGCCAAAGTTTAATATAACTGTTAAATGTAATGATCAATCTGTTATTTTATCTGTAAAAAATGGCATCATTGAAAATGTTGCTACAGCCTGTAATGTAAGTTTGAACAACTTAGTTAATGAAAAATTTAATATGAATATAGTGGAAGAGATAAAACAGCATTTAAAAACCATTAAAAAGTAATTTTATAGTATAACTGTTTTATTTTTATATTAAGCAATTACTGTAGTAAAATATAATATGTTGTGTTGATTTATGTTATGATTAAATATTAAAATTAATGATTAACTATTTGACACAATGTGATTCCTTATCATTCCCATTGTACAGTTTGATATTTCATAAGAACAATTTAATTTTTCTTTTGTTTAGATTCTTGAGCCTTGAATGCATTACTCCTAGTGAGCAACCAAATACGTGTTTGGTTTTTGTTTATTTTAGTGAGATGTATAATGTCACTAAAAAAAGTATGCAATGACCTATTATACAATATATTGTACATCAAGAGTGTTTTCCCTTTTAAAATAATGATAATTAAAAAAATATTTAATCATTAAAATTAAATTATACGAGTTTTAAAATAAATTTAAAAGCTAATGCACATTCATTTTGTATGGTTAATAATCATCAAGTATAGTAAATAATAATGGTAGGTACACAGTAATTAAAATTTATAGGTTTAACTGTTTTAAGTTTAAATGTTTGTTTGTTCTATTAAAATGATAAAGATCATTAGGAAAATCACAATAGGAAAAATAAAATGGTATGAAATATAGTTAAAAATTATTATACTATAATAAGATATACATTTCATTTAATAGATACATTTATCATAACAAGAATAATGAATATTTATTTTTCTACATCTAAATAATCTTAGCCAATTATATTAGGTTGATAATCTATAATATAATTATTGTATTTTATAAAAAGAAATATATGCGTATAATCCTAAGCCGTGATTATAATAATATACGGTCGAAGACTAAAATCATAATCTATGGTCTGACATTGCTTTACAGAGAGCGTGCATAAATAATACATTAAAAGCTTAATAACTAGAATATACAATATATATTTGATCAGTCAATCCGAATAATAATTAAAATAAAATAAACAGTGAAACTCGACTAGTACCTAGTCTATTGTTTATTTAAAAATGTGCAAGTTTACTATTACCCTGCACTGAATGACCTTGCATTAGGAATGAAAATATAAAAGTGAGAAACATTGCTTTTGATTGACTGTATCCAACACCATTGACAACCAACTACCATTAGGAACTTTTCTGCTAGGAAAACAAATATTGGATAATAATTTAAACATAATACGAAGAATGATAAAGTTCCAAAATTCCAAGTATACATTTATTAAATTTTATAATGTTTTGTTTGGTACGTAGAACGTGGTAAAACGTGCTTGGTTACTAAAAAAAAAAAAAAAATTATAATAATAATGAAAATATTTGCTTAAGACTTAAAAACTGTAATAACTGGAATTTAATTTATCTAGTACAAGTTTGTCATTTTATAGTTCTACGAGATACATTTTTAGTTCCTTTAAATTGCACCACATCATTGTCTTCTTGTGAATAATCACATGAAATGTCTTTATCTTTCTTTGTGGGATTTTCTTTACGCTTTATTAAAACACTCATCATCACTACTGAAACCAACAACAAAACAGCACAGAAACTTATTAGAGGCAACCATTTATTTTCTGTTTCTTTTTCAATTTCTGACAACATTGGCTGGTAGTCGTGAACTTCCCTAGTAACGATTCTGGCTGGTCTTGCTGCCACTGGGCTGTGTGGACAATTCGCCTCGCGCACATACCTGGCCCACGTGCGTTGCACACTAGATGTGAGCTCTCTTCCAGGTCTTCTTAGTTTAGCTTCCTTAACAGGCGTGCTCTTAGGATCGAAATTGCACACCAATCCTTTGGTCTTTTTGTTGTTTACATTGGAAGCAATTGATTTTGTAGAACCAACCAACACACCTATATTTCCTTTAGACGATGCAGCCCATTCCCACATATCCACAACATAACAGTCGCATTTCCAAGGGTTACCGACCAGTCGTAACGACATAAGTTGATGGTTATATCCAAATTTATCGGGCTTAATTGCCGTTATATTATTGAAACTTAAGTCCAATTGTTCCAATCCAGTTAGTGATTCTAAAAACTTCATAGATCCTTCTTCGTCACTCTTTAATTTATTATCGTTCAACAATAACTGGCTAATGTTGGGCGTTGTTGTGAAAGCATCGACAGGTAAATGACTCAAATTACATTTACTCATATCCAAATTTTTTAAACCAGATAATTGAGGTGGTAGTATTGGCCCTTCTTCAGGAACTTGAAGAGGATTTCCCGAAAGTCTTAACTCTTCCAAGTCTGGATATGTAAAATTATCGTAGAACACTGTATCATTTAGACGACTAAGTCCGCAGTTATTCAACTCTAATACTTCCAAACGCGTAAGATTTTGGAATAAACCTGATTCGAGACTTTTAAGTTTATTTCCAGACAAAATAAGCGTTTTTAAAGCAGACATTTTTAAGAAAGTCGTTCTTGATATTCGTTGCAAGTTGCTATAACCCATATCTAAATGTTCCAACGATTCCAATGGAGATAATAGTGCTGTAAATGCATTGTTCAAAGGATTTCTTGATAGGTCCAATTCTTGTAAACTAGTAAATTTATGAAATGTGTTAGCTGGTAACCGTGTCAATCCACAGTCTCTTAATGAAAGTTTTACAAGCTTTAATAAAGGCGATAAGGCTACTGCCAAATCATTTGCAGATAAATGGTTTCCAGATAATATAAGGGTACGCAATTTCGTAGCATTAGCGAACGCATCTTCAGACAAAGGACCTTTTAAATGACAGTAACTGAGGTCAAGAAAATCTAAATGAACTAAATTGTGACCTAAAGTAGTAGCCACGTCGAGATCAGATAATTCATTTTCAGCCAACACCAAACCTCTTAGCCAAGTATTATTGAAAAAAACATTTTCTGGTAAATTTGATACACCCGACTGTCTTAAATCAAGATGTTCCAATCTGCCTAAATTACCCAGTATTAAAGTCCAGTCAACATGACTTTTGAGACTATTTCCAGCCAATTCCAATACCGTGAGGTGCCCAAGACTACTAAATGCTACGCTTGATATGTGTGTAAGATTGCAGTTATTAAGAATTAGATGTTTTAAACTAGTAAGAGGATCAAATATGCCTGGTTCAATGATATGAAGAGGGTTTCCGGAAATATCAAGTTTGTCTAGACCACTGATATTGGCGAAAAACTGTGGTGATAATTTTGTTAGATGACTATTTGCCAGGTACAGGTACAGCAAAGACTTTGAGTATAAGAATGGACCTTCAACTTGTTCCAATGGATTTCCTTGTAATTCTAACGTAATTAATCCAGCGCTATCCCTGTAATAAATATAACAAATGTAAAATAAGTATATAATTTATACTATTAAACACTTTCTCATTTTCAAATATTTCTCTATAAAAATGTTTAATAGACTTAAAAGTAGATATTATTTTTTAATTTTTTAATTTTTGATTCTTTATTATTTCGTATTGTAATAAAGCTAGGTGGTATCTAATTAAAACAAAATGTATTGATGAAATGAATCATTACAAAACGCACCAACAGTTTTTGTAGTGCTGATAATATTAGTATCACTTTTTGCTTAAACAAATATTAAGCTATAAGACAATACTAATCATGCAATTAACATCAAGAATGAAATTAGGTTTATGGGCAACATATTTAACATATTTAACATATTTAACATTTTTTTAATGTTTAATTTTAAGATTAGATGGATAGAAAAAGATAATGAAAATATTTATAGTAACATTATTCTGTTTAGCCGTTTAAACATTTTAATGTACGTTAGTACGTCACCCGACAATGGAATCGACCTTGAATAAGTAAACGTGAAAACTGTGACTCAATTTGTTTAATTTAAATACGATTTAAGTTAAACGCCGAAGTAAGAGCTCGTGTCCTTTCATAGGCTAAATATCCTTTGTACAACCGTATACATACAAAATACCTAATGCCTATATTATATATACATTAACTAGAGGAGGCTAAAGGTACCTAGTTTATCTAAATAAACTTACACAAATGCTTCAGGATCAACATAATTGATCAAGTTAGATGACAAATCTATATCCAACAGGTAATGGAGTCCGGCAAATGTTGTTTTTTGAATTTTTGTTAAAAAGTTCTCAGACAACTGCAATGTCCTAAGTTTGATATCGGCCGGGAACGGTTCGATTTCTTTTAGGAGATTTCCGTTCATATTAAGTACGTAGACATTGCCGTCGAGTCCTTCGTATGGCATGCCTGTCAAGTTACTGTCCGAACAGTCAGTTACCCAGTTAATTCTGAAGAAATGACAATCGCAATCTTCTGGACAGTCGAGCTGTTCAGATAGAATGGCACTCGTATTGCATACGTAAGCCAATAGTATTGCAAACACTATAATGGATGTACGTGTCGCCATGTCGCGGCGGATTTCTCAATTCAAACTCTGAAAAATGAATAATTTATTAATTTAAATTAAAAAATTGAAATTGAAAGACTTGGTATAGTAATATAGGTATATTAAAAATTCTAATCTGGTAAAATTTGTTAAGTACCCCGTATTATAAAATGACCGTATCAAATTGAAAAAATTGTCTATAAGGTTTGATGTTATCGATTCGTCAAACGTTTTCGTTTGGTGTCAAGGCATTACCAAGGACTTGGCACAGGTCTCACAACTAGTAAAAATTCATCATTCATATTACGCTCTCCAAATATTTGTAGAACATCGTTTTACTAGCAATTGAATGGCCCTATAGGCACGCCCTGTCATATGAACGACAGTATTAGTATTGATTTAATTAAGTCTGACACGCCCCGTGTGAACACTGCGAACAGTTGTCTAACACTATCTGAATTTAAAATTTAAGTTCTAAAAATTTTGGACTCCGATTATAATATGGTTTAGATTAATATGTATGCCTCTACTATAGTGAACATAATGTTCATACTATTATTCTTATATTAAAATCATAATCACTTTACGATTACCATTTTGTTAAAGTCTTATTAATAATAATAAAAGATATTTATGTTGTTTAATAACAATATCAAAATATAGCGATAGATATTATTCATATAGGTTTTAAAACAATGCTGGTAAAATCACGAACCGACTAGAAAATACAGATTTTTAACTGTTATTATTATTGCAGTCATTATATTTGGTCGTCCAAGACATCAATTGAATTATTAGGAATTGTGGATCATCATCGACTGCAAGTGGTAAAAATGATAACCTTCCAATTTATAATTAATTTTGAGTTATTAAAAATAAAATAACAATCGAAGTACTATAGAATGGACCGGATCGAAATACCGAATGGCATAGGTAATTATTTATTTGGCTTATTAAACAACTTTAATTTTGATTGATATTTTTTTGAACTTTGATGAAACATTGTCATCGGTGTAACACGGTATCACATACCTACCATAATATATGTGAACGTGAGAGTTCACATAACAGTCACTTTAACGTCCTTGATGTACCCCCCATTCCATCTCACGTTTCTAATTGATTAATTATTAACGACATGTGTACAACAGTAAAATGCATGATTTACAAGAGAAATTAAAATATACCTATGAATTATTATGATCGAGTACACAAGACAATTGCTACTGAAGTAGTGAAGTGAAAGTAATATAGTCCCTGACAGATAAATACCATTTAAAACATATTATAACGTCTCGCCAAATTAAAATTCTATCATCAGTACCTATACTCTGTTACTCATTATAGTACCTAATTGCATTATTATACATAATAATATAGTATAATAGAGTTCCATCGTAAATTACTCAACAGCAGAAGTGCAAATAGGATTCATAATCTTGGGGAGGGTAAGGTTATTTCATTTTCAATGCAACTGAAATGAAAAATAAATTAATATCTTTTCTGGTAATATAATTATTACGTAATGGATGAGTAAATTATGTATTTTTATAGAGGTCGCAGCCCTACATATTATAATTTATTTGTATACCTTTGTTTATCAATAGATGTTTTTAATAGGGTTGTAAATTGGAGTAGCATTTAGGTAACGATAAATAAACCTATATATAATCAAACTAAATTAAGTTCTCAAAAATATATGCACTTAAAAACACTTAAAATATTAAGTTTTATTTACATTTTACGCGCTTCCATGATGTCGATAAACATGTTCGACGGATTAATATTTTAGAATAATTAATATAAAGTTAAAAAATTAGTGCTAATTATAAATGACATAATCTGTTACACCAGCACTAAGTAAATATCTTAACATGGACGGAGATCGGGTGGAGAGCTTAGGGTGCCCCACAAAAGTATTGTATTAAAAACTGTAGTAAAAATGTATTTAACATAAATTACCAAGATCTCAAAGCGTAACGAAAAATGTTTTTATATGAATAATAATTTTAATTATATTTGTTTCATGTTTTGAATAAAATACACAATCATGTAATTTGCATTAAATGAGTTAAATATTTTTCAATGGTAGATATTTTAATAACGCTGTGAAGTTAACCTCATGGTGGTATCATAATAAGTAGGTACTATAGTGATACAGCTGTAACATTAAAATATTTATACATTTCAATTAACGTTTGGGCTTATTGGATCTGTCTAAGATCAATCAGATCTCAGTCATATTCAGTTTGAGATGACCGTAGCCAAAACAGTATTGTACTGTTATGCAATCAGAAACTGCTAAAACTGAAAAAATTATGATGTTTTAAATAAAATAGGTAACTAAAAATATATGCTTTTATTTATTTTAGCTTTTACAAGTTTATAGCCATATATTTGCTAACTTTTAGCTCAGCAGCTTGAATATGCAGTTTCTCGACTATGCGTAAGATTAATGCCAATAATAGTTTGTGCTGCAAAACAAATTTAATTCTTCTATTTTACATTGTGTAAGGATAAGTATAGAAAAGTATTTTTTAATTTATATCATAAGAATTACGTATGGATACATTTTCATCTAAAAATGTATATATTTTATATTAAATAATATTTTATATACCTATTATGATTATTCATGTTTATTTTTCTATTAATGCATAGTGTTTATGGTAATATATTTGGGGGGGGTGCGTAGCCCCTGCGTGTCACTTTGTCCAGTAACATACTAGGAAACTACCACTATAATTCTATAAAATCTCAGCCAGTGATCTGATCTTTAAACCATTTAAATATAACTATTCATAAAGGAAAACTAATTATTACAAATTATTGCAAACAATTTTAACTAATTTTAACCATTTTTTGGACTCACATCATGACATCGTGCATAATATATTTGTTATAACAAGCGTCATCGTAACTTGTCAACATTCAGAAAATTATTCAAGAAACTTTAAAGGCAAAAAGATTAAAATAAAAAGATAACATATTAAGTATAGCCTCGGGTATGGCCAACATAGATGTATTAAAAAATATAGGTATTTCTGCAATGCAACTTATCTAAATGGATATCGGTAAAGAATTTTACGAAATAATAAATTATGATGCACGGAAAATATTTTACAGTAAAAATCGTTTGCGTTTAGTTATAAATTTATAATGATTTTTAAACATGCACTGCGGCTTGTCTAGCTATATATAGCTACGTTCTTTATTCTTGGATCTTTGTCATAAATACGTAATACATGCAATATTTTTTACCAAATTCCAAATAATCATAATCTTATTTTGTCGAGATAAAATGTTAAACTATTTTAACCGAATTATGACCTTAAACGTATATAGTTATTTTACAGGCGATAATAATATAGATAAAATACAAATACGCCTACCCAGGTATTTAATAATTTGAACAAACATAAAACATTAGACTGAACAATTTCAACCCAAAATTATATCTGACGCCTAAACATCCATAAAGTTACAATTTATTTACTCACGCATTAATTAGTTCGTATTAATATTCTTATAGGATTCGACGTGCGTGCATTTGTCTACACTCTATACTGTCAATAGATAATAAGACGTGCGTTGAATACGCATACAAAATCAATTCCGACGATAGGTATTGTAAATTTTATGATATACCTAAGACACAATATTTTTTATACGAATTTCAGGTTTAAGGAGTTTTCCGATCTTTTGTTTGCAGTTGTACTCCCAGTTCAAAAATACACTCCACTACGAAATTATTTTACGAAACCATTTTGTTTTAGGCCTACGAGATGAAAGTATTATAATATATTAATATATTTCTTATAACTTTCAAGAGAGGAATATACATACAAGTTACGTGTGTCTGACATACATTAATCGTTAAAGTTTGATTTAAAAAAAATGTCTACCGATAATATCTTATCTTATTATATGATCCTCAGTAGCTTAGTGTAGAAATGGGAGTGAGATTATAACGACTACCTACTATATATTGTAAATTGAAGTACCTATCATAATATTGTAAATATGTAAATATAGGCACCGATTTATTTTATGTGATATCGCAGTGAGTATCTTATGCAGTTGATATGGTAAGAGTGGTTAAATATGTTAATCCCTCCAGAGTCCCCGAATAGTAGTTATATTGGAACAGATTTTTAGTATGAATTCGAATACATACTTGTATAATATTATTTATGAAATATGAGTACCTATACCCTACCCGATAATTTTTACACACGATAATACCTATGTGATATAAGTATAAAACACATACCATGTCGAAAATCTGCAGGTATATACATACCCCATACCTATGATAATTTTTTTAATAATAGCATTTATTTACTGATATAAAACAGTCTGTATAATAGTCGTTTGGATATATAATATGCGGACATATTATAGAAAAACGCATCCTACAAGTCCGCGGGCCGTAAATATAATATAGGTACGAATATATATCTACACATTTTTTAAACTTGTTATTGTAGTCTGATCTCGTGGACCTTGGCGAAATTAAATTACATCCGTTTGAAATAATAATAATAATAAAAAAACTCGCGCAACAAGTACCCAACATACGTATATGATATTATATACACGCACACACACACGTATCTATATTATAATAAAACCTATATGCGCGTATCGGCGTATCGCGTGTATATTTTTAAAAAAAAATTTTCTAGTTTGCGAATAAATTTCCCGACACACGGACGTCACACGTTTGTAATGACGTTGTGTGTGTGTCGCAAAGTTCAATTTTTTTTTCTGAGGCAAAAAAATAATAATCCCGACCACCTTTGTAGCCATAATAATAATAATAACATTATCTATGTACGTAATAATATTATGTCGTATGTAGGTACGACATGAGCGACGCGGCGGCGTTCAGCAGGTGATGGCGGCGGCGGCGGCGGGTTACGTCAGCCGCGCGGTGGTGGTATAGATAGGTTTATACCGTATTGCATATATCTATTATACCAGACATATTTTAGGTGGGTACGCGAATTCCGAAAACC